AATCAAGTCCTTTTTTTATTCGTTTCATTTTTTAAACTTAGCCACTTTTTTTTTTTCAATTTTTTGGGGGGGTCAAGGGGGAAGAAATCATTGCCTGACTCAAGATTCATAAGGGCAGCACCACATTTTTATGACTGAACTATAAACCACTGAACCAGGGTTTGTAATGGAAATGCTGGCAGATCTCTAACTATAGCAATACAAAAGGCACTCCTGTAATTAAGAGGACCACGTATCTTCCCATGATTCCAAAGCTGTGGAATCCTCTGTGGGCCGCAGGAACAAACACTAACTCAAATTAAAAAAAAAGAAAAAAAAAAAAAGAAACTCTGCTTTCTGCCTCAGAAAAATGCAGTAAGATAATATAAGGCAATTGAGTTCATTTTGCTCTGGACTCTGATACCAAGATTTTGTGTGGTACACCACATCCCAGCACAGACAAAGAGAAGAGGTGGTAGCAGGGGAAAAATGTGCCAAATACTGCATTTCAAACATCAGGCAGAAAAAAAACAGGTAGCATAGAAGGCAGACAAATATTAAGTTACCCCAGTGCTTCTCTTGTTTATATCTCACTGTGACGGGCCCATGAATCCAGGGCTGATGAAGTTGTAGTTATTTTGGGTTTTGAACAGCATTTCCTTTATTCGTGCTCTTACTTTAATTATCACAGTTTTCCCTTTGTACATGGGAACTAGACATGTGCCACCATGCAGTCACTTCCCCACCACTAACTGGTTTCCAGTTGTGTGAGGTATTGTTCTGTCAAGCAATAGCATAGCCTGAAATTTCTTATTGAAATTATAGAAAACTTGATCCCTCCCCTCTTCCGAACCTGCTCCTTTATGTTAACTTCTGTCTTAACAGAACAGGCAGTCTCCAGACTTTTCATACATTTGAGTAAACATTACGTAGGGTATAACTGTGATAGTAACAGTGAAAACTTATCAGCTCCATGGGTTTCTTCTTAACTTACATTATAGTTACTTGGTAGAGAGATACCTTGAAAGAAGATCTAGCATGTATCATTGGATCCGCTTTAAATAGAGCTGATATTAATAGGACTCATTGCATGTTTTCTTTGAAACATATTGTTGAGGGGGAAAGGCCATTTTACAAAACTACTGCTTATTTTTCAAAGGTTTTCCTAAATTCAGAGTAGTATAAATTCTACTGTGACAATTAAAAACTGAGGGAAAAAAATTGGAAAAGGCCAGCAAAAGAAATTACATTAAGAAATTGGCAAGTTCGTATGTATGAGGGATGGAAATGGACTACACTGCATAAACCCTTGCACATACATATCATACACATGAAATACCTCTGAATATTTAAAAAAAAAAGAGGATAAAGAGGACTTTATTATAACTTAAATAACAATGCAATAAAATATCATTATTAATTAGAGAGAAAACAGAATACGTCAAGCATGCAATACAATTTTCCATAGTTATATATTAATATGATTGGATTGGTAATAAGTATTAGTAGCAACTGAAAAAACTGGCATGGCTCTTTGTTGGAACTCATATACAAAACAATTGAGATACATTACTGATATTTGTTAATATAATATCATTAATCAAAATAATGTCACTGAGTACTAAAATGTTTTATCAGCTCCTAAAAATTACAAATATGGGTTCAGTCTACGCACTTTCATTTCTGTGGTTCTAGCTTCTTACATTGTTATTTTAAATAAATGTGAAATCTCATTTCAGCAGAACCTTAACTTATTCTAAGTTGCACAGCTCACTTCCATGACTAGGACTAGGTACTACTAGTAGTAGGTACTACTTTGATCTGTGAACCTGGAGACATGTTCCCTAAGAGAGTAAAAAGTAGATTATGTTTTGCAGATAAAAGGCAGTAGTAAAAAATCCGTTGAAGCAGAATCCTTTTAAAATCTGGATAACAGAAGTTGATTCCTACATTTCAGACTGAGTAATATTTAGCATGCAGGTTCCTTTACTGAAATGACATGTTTTAACAGTTTCTGTCATATACTAATAGCATGAATTAAATTTTCATACTTAATGATCAGACAAATCTAATGGTTGTTACCACAGGGCGCCTTCAAACTGGGATTTCACTCACATTTGACAGAAGTCTTAATGAGTATAGCAGCAATACTCTGAAGCCTCTTGGCAGACTGGGCACTTGTCTCAGTGTTAGAAGTCTAACCCTGTGTTGGTTAACTGCACTGTGGAAGGGTTCAAGGACAGAGGAGAATGAGGGATTAAATATTAGAAGTGATTAAATCTGTAATGGAAATACAACAGTATATATGGGTTTAAAATGTGACTGTAATATCCTGCCTGAAAAATCTTTATGTTTTTAATAATATGTCTATCTTTTCCCTGTCCAAATAACTATATATCAGTATTTTTCATCCAAGAGTTCATTTGCATGTGGCTTAACTCTTTACTATCACTTTATTTTATGTAACTACCATTTATTTTATTATTTTCAAGGCAGTCCAGTTGAAAATTCTTTTAATGGTGTTGTATGAATGTCACTAAAATTGATTCTGTAATGGGCCTAATATGTTTTTTAGATGAACACATTTGAAGTTAATTGGTGTAGTCCTCACAGAAGCGATTTTTCTAAAATGAGTGGATTTGATTTTTCAGCCATATACTTGCAATGGGACTGCAGCAGCTGACAAACTGGCTCAAACTTGAGCTTCACTGGCAGAGCTTCTAAAT